TTATCGAATGTATATCTGGCATCATATTTAATAAGCTGTATATCGATATCTATCGATACTGAGTAAAGTAAAATCCTTTAAGCTATATCTATATCTATATCTATATCTATATCTATATTTATATCTATATCTATATCTATATCTATATCTATATCTATATCTATATCTATATCTATATCTATATCTATATCTATATCTATATCTATATCTATATCTTTATCTATATCTATATCTATATCTATATCTATATCTATATCTATATCTATATCTATATCTATATCTATATCTATATCTATATCTATATCTATATCTATATCTATATCTATATATATATCTATATCTATATCTATATCTATATCTATATCTATATCTATATCTATATCTATATCTATATCTATATCTATATCTATATCTATATCTATATCTATATCTATATCTATATCTATATCTATATCTATATCTAAATTCATATCTATCTATGCATCTGCATCTGCATTTTATATATAGCTATATCATATTTTCTGCCACGTCTTTATTGTTCCATTTTATCTTAAGTCTTTTTCTCTCCACCCTCTGGCCAGGCTTTAACCAGGAACTTGGCAAAGGACGTGCACAGGAACTGCCAAGTTTCTGCCACACTAATAACCGAACGCATTTTGCTCTTGAATGCATAAATTATAGTCGAAGACGAAGAGGAAGGTGCTCTATGAATTGTTATTGTAGTTATGCCCGCTCAAGTCGTGCAAAAGTGAGTTTATTCGTTCGTCCGTCTGTTTCCATAAACGTTTTATTGCTCTCGAAGCTAGAGGATTGAAACGCGGAATATAATCTGCTTGGTATCTGTAATATATACCAGACAAACCATGACTGAGAATATATTCAATATGTATATATATAGAGGGCGTGGCCAATCGGCTATAACTGTATATTCCTGAGTTCTACAGACAAGTTCGCTAGATTTTGTAGTGGATTCACTGTTGATGATATGCTAAATGATATGCTTCGAGCATTGGGACATGATAAATTCGTTCAAAAAACATATTAAAAGTTAATGCATGCTGAGCGAGTATCAGGCAGTCGTTTATGCCTGAATGCAACACGTTTACTTGTTTTTTTTTATGCAAATTTGAAGCAGACATTTGCAAGGAGCTTGGCAATAAAAATCGATATTCGTTAAAAGGTAACGAGCAGAGAGGGAGAAAGAGAGAGAGAGAGAGAGGGGGAAAGAAAGTCAAAGGAAGAGCAGCAGTGGCAGAATTGCAGAACTTCACATCCATTGCTAGAAATCCGCTCGTTATCATCCAATTATATTCCGAGGCAGGTACGAAAAATAGAAATTGAAACATGACTCGTAGTAAAATCGAACTAAAATCAATTTAGCTGACTTTATCTCTCATTGGAACAGTTAGAAATATCCCCAACTAAGATATGGAATACATATATAGTAAGATCTATATCAAAAATAGCTTAAGAACTTGTCAAAAAAAAAAAACGAAAATAAAATCGAATTCGTAAGCTGAATTTTTTACACAAAGTTTAGCTGTCATGTTAAATATTTGGCAGCTAACAAGTTCCATTAATATGGTCTATAGGTAATTGAAAAGCCGTTAAATAATATAAATAGCTTCACTATCAACTACAAATAACTAGCGCAACTGTACTTTAATGCATTTGCAATAAAACACGAACTGTTTTAAATTGTTTTTTTTTTCTTTTTCTAGTTGAACGTATGATTAGGATGTAAATTGATTGATGACTAAAATCGTAAAAACAAAAACTAAAGCGAAATTCAATTAAGTGAAATGCGAATATGACCATAAAAGAGAGACAACAACAACAACAACAATTTTTGGACTTAGCTAATGGCCAGGTTGGCTTCTGCTTTTGGCCTTTTGGCATTTAAACGCGTTTTGGCTTTCTTCTGCTTTCAGCTGCGACTGACTGGCACTCAAATGTCAGTTAGGATTTCAAATGGCCAATACCCATTAGAGTATTGCCACATGACAATGGGGTATATTGGCGAAGAGTTAAGTGAGGGCGGTAAGCTGGCATATTCCCAGTTCGCTTACGGCATAGCCTATGCTTAGTAATTGTTGTTTCACATCTATTTTTGTTCTATTCTAATCATTGCTGAATCGATAAATATCGATAAGGGGTAAACTGTGAGCATATCTACATTGTTTTAGTAATTAGACACTATATTTTAGACATATATATTTGTGTTAGTTAATGTTTGTCAATTTTTACTTTTTTACTACGTTCGATATTTATCGATTTTTGTTAAATATTTGCAATTCCTGTTTTTAAATGCAATAAAAGCAATGCAATTTGCTTGTAAATTGTTGAGAAGCAAGTTGATGTCTGCTTCTTATTTTAAAAGCCAAATTCACACAATTTCGATATATATCGATTTCTAATTTTGATTTTTTGAGACGATTTTGTATGCTGTTAAAGGTAATGCTATGAAATTTGTACATAAATTTATCTTATTCATTTCGGATATTTGTTAATTTTTTCTTTCGATTAACTAACATCGATTATTATCGATTTTCGGTACTTAACTCTAATAATAAAGTCAATAAAGTTGTTAAGTAAACTTTTATAATAAATTGAAGAACATGTCGTATGTCTGCTGTTTCGATAGCTTCGATAAATTCGATAAATATTGACTTACTGCCTAAAAAACTGTGAATCAGATGGAATCGATAGATAGCTGAGCTAGTTGCAGGGCATTTAGTAGTCGAGCACAAGCGTCTGTTGCTAATCTGCTGGTTATTGTAGACCGGGGCTAAAACTAATTAAGTCCAACAGCCAAATTTGACTTTGATGAACTGCTCGCATGTATATAACGGGTAGATTAGGGGTATCTCGACTAGGGTTGGGGTGGGGAGGGGGCGGGGTTGGCTGATTGTTCATGCAATACGAGACGCATTTGCATAACAATTGAAGGGGAAGCGGTTGTTGGGGAGAGGGGGCAGGGGCAGTCAGTTGCCCATTTTGAAGGGTTGCTTGTGGCAGAGGCCAGTGTGTTGTTGCTGCCACAAATGGTTGCAGTTGCATTAATCTTAATTAATGCCATGTTGCAGTTGCAGTTGCAGTCGCACTTGCTGCATATTTCAAGAGCAGCTGAAGGGGGAGTTGGAGCCGCCCGAGCGGGACTTGGAGCAACATTTTAATTAAGCTCTTGCTTTGCCGCTGCAACTTGCAAGGATTCGATTCGATGGCTGCCAGTTGAAGCAAAACTATTTTTAAATGCCACAAGGCAAGGCAAGGCAAGTGCAGTGCAAGCTCATCTTAGCCCAGTTAATAGAGAGAGCGAAAAAAAAAATGAAAATATAAGCTCAGCCGCTCTGCTGCTGCCTCTGCCGCTGCCTCGACCCAAATGTCATCGAAATGGCGCTGAGTTCAAAAACAAAGCGCATGGCCTCAATATGCAGAAGCTGCGCTAAGATTAACTCAGCTAAAACAAACAGCAACACAGAAAGAATAAGTGAGAGTGCTGCAGTCGGGAGTGCATGACTAGGGTATGCCCGGAAAGCTGCTTACAACTAGGGGAATATGCTTAGAGGGCGGGCGGACGGTAGGTATTCCAAAGCAGAGTTGTGCTAAGCCTGTGTATTCATCAGAGACTTTTGTGGCATTGATGTTACGGTTAAGCCAACCAACTTAGGTTATCGATTATTATCGATACTTGGAATATGAAATGAGCTGTCGAAAAACATGATACACTCTTACTGCTTATGCTACAGTGTAATTTATCTATAATATATATTTCAAATCTCTATTTTTTGTCGTTACCAGGATTCTCGACTGCATAATACCCGCCCACAGTTAAAATCGAATCAAAATTTCATACTTTCAGCAAGATATACCGATTTGCCACGCCCCACACACATAATTCTTAGTCAATCTTAAGCAGGTATGCACAGAGATCCATTAACTATACCTAAATTTGTCATAGCTACAAATGTCGGGTATATATAGTTTCTTTAAGCTTAGTTGGGACGCCTCTCGATGAGCATAAATTTCGCATTACAAAAGTCTAGCTCGAAGGAGCATGAAAACAGCCCAACTAGCATATACCCAGACTTCAGATACCGACACAAGAAAGCTTGAATGGATTTTTGTCAAAGTCCTTTGGAAAGTCTATAGAACTAGCTATTTATACATTGTCTATGCATCAAAGAGGACTCCAAGGGCTTGAGTTGCTCTTCATTAGTTTGCTGAGCGCATAAACGTTTTCATGTCATAGATTTATGTTGTTGGAAAGTCTTAAATTTTTAATGCAAAAAAAAAGAGGCGGAATAAAACGGAATGAAACAGCGCGGAAACGGAACATGGCAGAATGTATGCAAAATCGTAATTGTTCGGTTGCAACATTTTGTTGCCACCACGGAACGCGATAAAGTTTTTAATTACAAGAGAGGGCGACACATATTTTACGGCCATTAAAAACTTGCCGACATGGCAAGAATACAGCCCCGCCCCGCCACGCCCCGCACATATGCCAAGCGACACGTTTGCCACCCACAGGCAAACAGACAAACAGACACCCTTTCGGGCGGCAAAACTGTTTGCTCTGCGAGTTTCAATTAACTGAAACACTTTTACACATATTCCCACAGCAGAGCCCCATTGGACTCGGGGAATATTCAAATAATTCGTATGACCTAGAAAACAATTGATGTAAAGTCGCAGCACTTGTAACTCGCTTTGTCAAGGACTTCTGTCCTATGAGCTCAGGAAAGTCAGGAGCTATGGGAGTTATAGTTGAAAAACCTGGTAAGTGAGATCTTCTTAAGCGTACTATGAAGTATATATGAAGACGAAATCCGTTTAACTTGTTTTATACGAGATTCTTAGATTCTTCTGATAGACCCAAGGAACTCTGGAACTATAAGAGCTACAGTCGCCAACTTGGGAAAGCGAGCTCCGCTTATGTTTACTATAAATAAAAATCACATATAAAAATCAGATCCGTTTGGACTTTGTTTTCAAAATTTCCATCTGGTAGACCCAAGGAACTCAGGAACTATAAGAGTTATAGTTGGCAAATTTGGTATGTGAGTTCTTCTTAAGCGTACTTCGAACTATGTAAATGGACTAAATCAGTTTCACTTGTTTTATGCGAGATTCTTAGCTGATAGACCCACGGAACTCAGAGCTAGAGCAGCTAGTTTTGGCATGTCAACTGTTAAGTAAAATAATATGAAAGCACAAAATTAAGCCTAAGCTTCTCCTTCTAGCAGAGCCCAGAAACTCGAAAAGAACAAGAGTTACAGATCACGAACTCGACATGTGAGCTACTTGATTGAATACTAGAAGCTACACAATGAGCATATATATATAGCTTCAGTTTGTATTATCAGATATAGCCATAAAGACGTAATTTGATATGTGAACTCTTAAGGGCAACTCAATCGGAAATATGCCCATTAATGGAATTATCTAGTTTCGTCAAAATGACAGAACACATATATCCGGGCTAATTTATTCAAAACATGATCAAATATTTTTATTTTTTTTAATTTCGTATTAAAATATAAACAATGCTCACATTTTGATAGAAAACCTACAAAACCTTGGGAATACCTATATAGACGGTTTATTGATATATATATATAAATATTCATATGTATCACAGGCAAGAGGCGGGATTTGAGAAGCTGGCAAGATGGGCGAGGTGCAGATGCTGCTGGATGACCTGGGCCACACGTTTTCCAAATTCAAGGAGCAGCGACGCATCGAGATGCTCAAGCTATTTAGCCAGGTGCGTTGCTGCGATTGCGGCCACAAGCTGCGTATGCTGGACGTCCAGAAGAAGGCCGCCAAGATGTCAGCTGGCGCTAAGAGATCGCTAACGGCTTGCCTAATGGTCCTGCTGCTGCTGGGCGGTTTCTGGATCTACATGACGAGGCGGTACAATCATGTGGCCGCCTTCGGCAGCGGCGCCTGTGTAGCCACATTCTTCTATACTAATTCCGATTGCGATGTCTATGTCTAGCATTGTTCACCATTACCATATTAAATACGAGTATATTTTTTTAACCATATTCTCTATTCTCGATAGTTATCGATAATAGCGCTTCCGATATGCCATTCGTGATATATACAGATTTATGATACCCAAATGCACTGTGAAGTTTGAGGATAAGACTTTATTAATTTAATTTCGATAAATATCGATTTTAATTTTTATATGTCTACTATATGAGCTCAAGATCTTTTTTCTATTCTATTATTTCTCGTTTTATTAATGTTTATCTATTGCAGCTTGATATCGATTATTTTTATCGATAAATATCGATGACTTTTATCGATAAATACCGATGTCCTATATCGACTTTTGCGTATAAAACTCGGTAGAAATATTTGGCTATTCATTATCATATGTATCTCTCTCTCTCTCTCTCTCTGTCTTTCTATTTTTCTCTCTCTCTTGCTCTATCCCTCTCTTTGTCTGCCATTCACTCTCGCTCTTTTCGTATTTCTCCCTGTCTCTCAGTGGAGCCTACAATTTCGAATTCTACATGTCTAAGCTGTTCCCAAACTTTAAACAACTCTCAACTGTTATTCAACTTCTCAACATCTGATAATTTGGTTCTTCTTCTTTTGTGTTCAGCTGAAGCACTTCCAAAAATGCGCAACAGAGGGCGCATGTAGCACGAAGCAATAGCCAACAACAAAAACACTTTCTAAAACCCAAAAACAAATTCCTTTACAATTCACTAAACAGCAACAAAAAGAAGAAGAATAAAAAGCCAAGCTTAACGCAAATTGTGTAAACACAAACCGAAAACTAAAAAAAAAAAAACCCAAAAATTTGTTTGTGCAACAAAGTAACAACACGCCCCGCAGCACCGCCCCGGTTCGCCTCTGCAGCCCCCTACAACTTTCACGCCCTATTTTAGTTAAAATCAACATTTGCCCAGAAAACATAAAAAGACAAGTATGAATGCGTGCAGTTGGGTATGCCCGACTAGCAGATGAATAGAGTTTTATAGATGAAAATGAAAATATTCAGAAACTATTAGAGATATATAGAACAAGCTAGATATATATAAAACCCAGTTTTACGTCTTGTAAACCCAAGGAACTCAGCTGCTATAAGAGTAATAGCCAGCAAATCTGGTATGTGAGCTCTTAGCAAGCTTACAATGACGTATATATGCTAAGCAGCGCTTTAATGCCCTTACTATTCCAGATTACCGTCTACTAGACCCTAGGAACTCAGCTACTATAAGTGTAAATGTTGGCAAATTTGGTAAGCGAGCTTTTCTTAAGCTTACTTGCATGTATGCATGCCAAGCAGCTCAATTTTACATATTTTATTTAAGATTTGCCGTCTTGTAGGCCCAAGGAACTCAGAAACCATAAGAGTTATAGCTGTCAAATTGGCTACGATAGTTCTTGTTAGGCTCAAAACGAATTAAATATTAAAGGCAGCTCAATTCAGCATATTTTACCTGAGATATTACACTTATCGACCCAAGGAACTCAAGAACTGTTAAAGTTGATGTCTCAGCTCTTCCTGAGCTTGCCATGAAGCATCTGAGCTAATCAGCTCAGTTGCAGCCAAGATTTCCCGCTTATAGAGCCAAGTAACTGAGAAACTATAATATGTCGTATATGGGCTCTTCTAGATAAGGCCATAAAGCAAACAAACATTTGCACAGTAACAAAATACCCTTTTGAGGCCATTTTCAATGGGTTCAGGGTATACAAAAAGATGTGAAATAAAATCAACAAATGCGCAGCGCAAAACTAAGAGGCGCAAAAAGAGGGCGTGTCCTGGTTGAGGCGTGGCGTTTAGTGTTTTATATATATATATATATATATAAATATTTTTTTTATTTTTGCTGAATAGTTTTTCAATTTGTTGCCTCCTCTTTTCATGAATGGAACGCAAAACGCGGCTCAGTCGGGGGGCGGCTGGGCGTGGCTGTGCTCGTTATAAAGCCGACTGCCGACACTTGAAAGTGTTGCCAAGCTTCTGTGTGTGTGTGTGCGTGTGTGTTTTGTTGTTGCTTTTTCATATTTCTAGTTTGCCATTCAAGTAGCGAAACAACAAACAACAAACATGAGCGACAAAAGCGACAGCCGTGCGACATTAATTGAAGTTTGTTGAACCAAAAAAAGCTATTTGCATGGCCCCCATTCTTAATGAACTAGCCACGCCCATGCCCTCTTATGCGCCCACGCTGTGCAGCATCTTTAGCTGATGACTGAATGATAACAACAACAACAGCAACATAAGTAGAGGAAGCTGCCTTGGTTCAGCTTCGAGAGGTTTTCAACGGGACTTGCACAGAAGCACTTCAATCAAGCTAACCGATTGATTGACTGACTTAGTAGGTCACTGACTGAATGATTGAGTGACTGCTTGATACACTGATTGTTGTTTGATTGATGAACTAGCTGCTAGAAGTCATTGCTTCAATGATTATTAAAGAGTGACTGGCTGAATGATTGCTTGAGTGATTGATCGACTGACTCTGACTGATAGGAAGTACACGATTGACTGATTGATTGACTGTTAAGCTGACTATGAGTGTGATTGATGACACTACATTTCCATTGATCTGTTGGCTGAGCGTTTGCTGATTGATTGCTGATTGATTGATGGACTGCTTGCCTGCGATGACTTATTGATTGATGTACCAAGTGCTTGAATGCACAACTGCTTTACTGACAAACTTACTAATTGCCTGCAAAGGCAAAGCAAGCATGTGCTTCATTGATTGACGGACAGACTGAGCTGATTGACTGTTTAAGTGCTTGGCTAATTGATTAGCTGCTTAAGTGGCGAACAGGAAAATTACTTTATTGCCTTTCATCAGATGCGCTTCAAGCTCATTTGACATTGCTGTAAATTAATTGAAGTCGGAAAAATGCCTGAAAATATTCCATAGAAATTACAATATCTCACAACACTAATTAGATTTATGATTCAATTTTGTTCATTGTCTTTGCTTCATGGGAATTTTCTTTCGTTTTCCATTTTCATACCCACATTCAAACGTGATGCAATTCGCTGAGAAATTGTCAAAAGAAACACTGCAAAGATATTTCCTGGTAAAGGTTTTTGTAACTATAGGACACGCCTCTAATACACTCTACTATGGGATGTTATCTTATGTCTGTTAAGCTCAGGGAACTCAGCAACTATAAGAGCTAAAGGCACCAAAGTTTGCTCGTAGACTATGCTTGCTATCATTATGAATTGCATTGTTTATAGATGAAATATACGTAATCTAGCTGAGATACGTACCCAAGGAACTCAGTAACTAAAGGACGTAGAGTCAGCAAATTTGGTATCTGAGCTCTTGAATAGAGTTTTATAAGGTTTATATGGAAAGCAAGTTGATCTTAAAGATAGTATACGAAATTTCTCTATAATAGACACAAGGAACTCAAACTGAGTGACTTATAGACGAAAATGTGAGCTCTACAATCTAGAAGGCTATGAACCTTGCTTAATCAGAGTGTTATCTGAGTATTGTAGAGTAGTCTTCTCATGACAGGGTAGCTGTTAGCCTGGCCATTGCCCACAGACACATTTTAATTTGTCAAGAGCTGTCCAACTTGTAAGAAGCTTGCTGAATCTTTGGCCTGCTCTCGAATCCTTTTCGGGTACCAGGTTCAATGCGCCCACAAATTCGTGTCTTCGTTTGCGCCATTTTCCGTTCCATAAACCTGTCAAAGTTATTGCACAGACACAAATGCAGAGAATTTCGCCCGATCCGCTGCACATTGTCCATTTACCCTTCTGTTTAAGACTTTTCCATTTGCAAACTTTACGGTTCTCTTATCGCTGTCTGCAATTGAAATTTCCAATAAACTTTTTTTTTTTTTGCTATCTCCGCTGATTACAGGCGCATACTCGTCTGCCTGGCTGAAAGGAGTATATTAGCTTTGTGCAATAAATGTTCGTCTGTTCATCTGCCTGTCTGCCTACTTGCCTTCGTTCGTATGCTTACCACGCCCCCAAGGGTCGCATATATATATATATGTTTTATATAGTTCCAATTGCCGTTTTGCTTGATTAATCTACAAAGCTCCAAATCTCTAGCTTCATCAGCGCCTAGAAGTTTGCATTTTACTCATTTGCCACGCCCCTTGGGAAGTTCTTAAGACACGAATGCCAAGGCGTATAGATTTACAGTTACAACAGCCCTACAAAAGCCGAACATGGCACGAAACTAATATGCTCGCCTTACACCTGCTGAGCGAGCATAGAAATATATGTATATATACACAACTATATATCTAAGTCTATATCTATATCCTGCATGGCCGTTTTAGTATACTTTCCGCTTGCTTAGGCGCTGCCAGGGTTGCCACCTGCCGCTGTCCAGTAGGCGGCGCAGCTAAGCGAACTCGTTTGGCGAATAATTATTTCTATTATTTGCAATTGAAATTAATTCGTTCGCCTAGTTTTAGAGTCTGTGGCGGCGCCAGGGTTGCCACTGGCGTGCAAATATTTGCGCAAACAATTTCAACTTTCGTCCACAAAATGGCGGCGACTATAGAGCGCTGCCAGAGTCTTGTGGCTGCTGTTGTTGCCGCTGGCTGTGTGCCACCTGTACGCTGTCAGCTACCTCAGCCCCGCTCTCACAACTCCCCTTTTCCAACCCCACGCACACACACATCGTTTCAAGGACACTTTTGGCTCCTCGGCAGCTACCCAACCTCGCCACTGACCCTCTCTCGCACATTGCACATAAATCAACGCCGTCTGCTTGGGCTTCCGCTTTGCTTCCCTTTTCCTCACTTTCCTCTTCGGCTGCTTGCTTTGTTTGACTGTCTACGCTGCTTCTTAACTCCTACCCTCAACCACCCACACCCACCCCGCCTCCTTCGGCAGTCCCGCGGGACAATAAAAATGGAAAGCAAACAACAACAAATATGAAACACTCGAGCAGCATTTTTCTAGGCTCCATTTCTAGGGTTGCAAATGTGCCGGCTACACACACAGACACACACACACACACACATCTATATATAAGAAATGTGTGCACATTTATAG